GGTCCTCAAACTCGGCCATGGCGGTGTGCCGAGCACCATCCACACTCCCAATGGATCGTTTCCCCATAGACGGTGCAGATGGCCTACCAACATTCCGGACTCCCTGCTCATCCATCCCCCCAGTACTCTTCCCGCTGGCATAAAATGCCACTGTCGGCAAAACAGTGGCTCTGTCGCGCCGTGCTGTCGCCGATGACCCAACCACAAGCTGTCATGTCGCATCTGCGCCACTGTTTGTGACGGGGACGCCCGCATCTGCGCCGACAGCCGCGACAATCAGATGATGCTCTAAGTTTGACGGCGGACTTGGGGGTCTTGCTTCTCTTTCGAGTGTGTCAACTGGCCCACCATGAGACCCTTCCTCTGCGCCGTCAAACGAATGAGAAAGACTGCGTTGTGCGATGCTGCGCTGACCGTCGCGGCGGTGTCGCGTCGCCGTCTCCGCCAAACCAAGGGCCACCTCGCGTAGTTTGCCAACACGAAAAATTGTGGGCGTGACAGACACCATTGGGCTCGTAATCATATCGGCAGTATCGCCTCCTGCCACGTCAAACCCGTCCGATCCACGCTCAATGACAACAGGCTGTTGTGGCTTGGGCGGTGACACATGGGGTAGACCTGGGGATATCAACGTCGACAAGTCCGGTAGAGAAACGAGCGCAGAGTCCGTGGTCAGTAACTCGCCGGTACCCGGAAGACTGYCGGTGGGGCATGCGAGGCCGWCAAGGTMTGCGGCGCTCTGCTCGGCTGCGGGAGTGTGTGAGATATCACGTTCCGGGAGATCGTCGYCTTGACACACAACAACGGTCCCCTGACTCCCCTCCATCAATGCAGGCGGTGGCCGCGGTTGAACACTGCGAGGKGGGAGCATACTKTCTTGCTCCGCCGCTGCCAGTGGTTGTCCCACATCCGAGGTCGCTGCAACCGAGATTGCCGCTATGGCAGACGTGAGTGGATGCAGTGCCTTGACAGAACCCTCGTCCCGCACTGCCGGGTGAGGACTGATCTCTCCCTGAACCTCGGGATGACGCATCAACGGTGCTGGACCCTGTTGCGATTCTGGGACTGCTGCGGAAGGCCCCATCGGAGCTGTCGCGTGCATACTCGAAGTGTCACCTCGTGGATGACCGCTCCCGCCATGCAGCTCGATCCGCTCCTCGCCGCCGTGATCGCTTAAAGAGTCCTCAGAAACTSGAATCTGCMTAGTTGAGGGGACTCGTGATAGTGGAATGCTAGCAACCCCACCGTGACGTTTGCGCACACGTGAAGCGATAGTGTCTTTTTCCCTTGGTCCGCGTTTCAAGCGCCTCAGGTCACCGCCCGAGACAGGTCGTGAACCATCATCATGCACTCCATCTCGAGCGTGATCTACTG